TTGGGAGCATCATTATCAATTTTACGAATAAAAATATTCCCAAAAAAAACTGTTCATTTTAATGATCACAAGTAGCCATTCACAAAATATTCCCTTAAAAAGATTCCTTACCAATTTGAAGCAAAGATGAAGCCGATTTACCTTGGCCATTTTTAAAAAACACACGGACGGTTAGTGCAATAATTTAAATTCGAAAATATTCAATTTTTTTAAATGTATATAAAGTAATAAATAACAAGTTTATAAACTTCAAGGGGAATTAAAGGGGTTTTGGACGTATAAATCTTCTGAGAAGGCCTTGGGTTCCCAAAATTTTGATAGTGACCCCCTTTTAATTCCCCATGAAGTTTATAAACTTGTTATTCATTTTTTAAATTATCATAGAGAATATATGCATTGTGAGTACGTTTTATTTACACCCGGCTCAAGTGGGTGCACATATTTACCCCCGATTTTCCCAATCAAAGTCGTGTTACAAGCTAGATAGGAAATAAAATTTTTTTACCATTATCTTTACTCCCGGGTTCTTTTTTGAGACTTGGTAACAATACAACTTTTTATTGGTTCTAAAGTTTTATATAATAACAAATTTTGTTAAAAAGAAAATAACTTTTTAGTATGTTTATTGAGCAGAGAGAAAAAGTTTCCCCCTGTATTTTTAAATTTTTTTTTAAATTCAAAATTTCAAGTTATAGATTTAAAGTGACAAATTGTATAATTTAAAAGGATTGTTGTCAAAGGTAGAATTTTGAATAATTCAAGAAGGTTAACAATTTTTTAAATTTAAAAAAACAATATTATTTGCATTATTTGAAAAAAAAATCCAGGCATACATATCCTTTGAAGCTGGGGATATAGCTTTTTGTTCAAATTTCACTCATTATTACATCATCTTGTTGAAAACACTAAATTCTTTTTTTTTGCCAATACAGGAAGGTGTTCCCAGGTAATTTATTTAAAATAAAAAGTTTTCTTCCTTTCCATCTGACCATTTACAATTTTTTTTTACATCCTGTTCAAAATCATCAACTGAAAAAAAAAAGATATAAGAATATAAAATACCAAATATAAGAGCTAATTTTGCAGAAAAAAATCATGAACAAAAAATTTCTTTCTTTGAAAACAAATGTAACCTTCAGTGCTCAATGGTAATATATGCTCTACGTATGTAAAATTTTTAAAACAAAACAAGCTAATTAGAGAATTTGTGTCCCCCCTTGGGAAAAATCGGATCCCCCTACTGAATTTGTAGAATTATTAAATGTATACATGTTTCTGAGGCAAATAAAATACATGTATGTCAATATGCGTATAAAGATTTGATTGCTTATTCTTTATTTGGTTTTTATCACACTGTAATATATTTTATAACCTCATTTTTTTTTCTTTTCAATGCAATACTATCATTAAAAAAAAGAATTTAAAAAAAGGATCGGCCAGCTTTTTTGTCCTTCCCATGCAAGCGAGAACATACCACTAACCCCCGGCGGAGTCGTTTTAAAAAAGTAAGCAATAAAAATAAAGACATACATGTATAAATTCATTTTTGGGTATTGTCAAAATTTTACACAATCCATGGTGTTTATTTATTTAGCCTTTATTAAACAGTTCTAAAGATGAAATGAAACAAAAGCCCGCGAAACCTGTTTTATACGCAAAAACTCCCGCTGCCCCTGTGCTAAAAATAGCGGCATGTAATACTATAAATACATTATTAAACAAACGGCGGGGGCACTTTAAAAGGGGTGAAAAGGTTAGGGATTTTTGGGTATAAAATTACATTGCATAAGCTCATAATCTTTTAAAAAATGCCCGGAAATGATAGTGTTACACAAAGACAGAATGTATAAATTTACGACCTTAATTTACCTTTTTTACCTCAGAATCAATAGGGCTTTCCTTAGCCAACAGGGAGTTGTTATGTAAAACTTTGCAAAAGTCAAATGGAAGATATCGTGTGGAAACGAAAGTGTTATAACAGACAGAATTTGCTTATTATGACCTTGACCTTTACCTTTTGACCCAAAATCAATAGGGGGCTTTTTAGTCCCTAGGGAGTTGCTATGCTAAATTTCATTGCGAAAGCTTAAGGGTTCTTGAGATATCGTGTGGAAACGAAAGGTTACAGAAAAAGAAAGACGGACGGACAAAACCCAAATTAATATCCCCCACTTTTCAAGCGGGAAAAAAATTATTAAAATACGTTGATGAAAAAAAATTACCCTCTCATTACAAAGTCATCATTTGAAGGCATCGTCGATACGATGCCTTGTCAGAAAACACAATCTAGTAAAGTCAAATGCTGACTGTTTTATTTCATACTAAATTTTTTTCCATTATTTAAACTAATTAATTATTTTTTTGTTATATTTCAACATGACAAGAAGCCAAGGGTTTTGGGGGTTGGAATGGGTCTAATGACCCATACACCTCCCCCAAATGTTAATGGGAGTTATTTTTGCCTTATCCAATTTTTTTTAATGAGTTTTTCCCAAAAGGGTTTGGGAAAAAGTTTTAAATAGGGAATTCCAATCTTTTCCATACATAACTCAAACGTGTGTCTGGAAGTTTTTGGAACATTTCAATTTGAAAAAAAAAATGGACTTAGATTTTTTTGGTTGGGAAAATAGTAATTTTTGGAAAAAAAGGGAAAATAGAAACTTAGCCATTTTCTGCGCGGGAAAAACTTGGAAAATTACTTAGATTTTTTTTAAACTTTCATAATATACAAAACATGGGGATCGAAGTCGGGCTCGATGAACAATTAATTTTAACCGCCGAAATTCAAAAAAAATCGATAATCAAAGCTATGTTGATGTTGCACAGACGGAAAGTTGGAACAGGGTGTCACGAACAGGGGGTCATGATATAATCCGATGATTAATTGGGGGGGAAAAAATGAAGACATTTTAAAGACCGGTAGGTAAATAACCCCTTTTAGGGTTTTTGGGATCTTATTGGGGGCTCACCGAATCGAGCTAACGTAAAAAAAAGGCAGCTATGCAGATCACCCCATCAATTTTCGTCTAGCGATCGCTTCACAGTCATTGTCATTTAAACTGAACGTATACGTATTGTAAACAACATATTTTATTTAAATAAAAGCATTTTCTTTAATAATTTGTGTTTATTTACCTTAAATAACTGCAATATTACAACGTGCACCATGTACATTACTTTTCAGTTATCCCCCCTTTTTCCATCACCCTAAAATTTTTTCAACAGACCTGGCAGCCAGATCTAGAGCCAATTTTAAAAGTGGGTAAATACATTCATATAAAGCACATGACATCACAAGGATCAAGCGCTAAAGAGAGTCAAGTATTCTAATTGAAAACAATTTTACATACGGGACAAATTTATTTATATTATTACATGTATTTTTTACAAGCTAAATAAAATTCAAGTTTTAATTATGTCAATTTTTTTTTTTTTCCCTTTTTAAATAGCTCTTATTTAACAACTTTAAAAAAAAAAACGCATTTGATTTTTGAGTATACATGCAAATATATGAAAAGATTTTATATTTTAAAGTAAGTTTTGGTTTTACATTTATTTCAAATAATTGTAATATATAACATCAAATTAGTAAAATTAAAATATTCTTGGCAAATGAAAATCCTTGATATTTAGTTGAAGCTAATCAGTATTTTGGTGTAAATAAGTGTACTTTATCTTTCAAAAAAATATGTACAGGGGGGAAATTTAATAAAGTTCAAAAAAAAAAAACTTCCTAGCAAATTCAAAAGGACATTTAAAAACCCTTTCTCTTTCAGTTTTTTTCACAAAATAGACTGTTTGTGATTTCTCTACATTTAATCAAGATGAGAAAAAATCCATGGTGATATCATGACTTTTGATTATTGTTATCCCAAAAGAGCCCAACAGCTACATGTAGGGCTGTTGCAGTCTGGATTTGAATTGAGGTTCTTAAAAATTGCAATGGGGGATTAACATTCACAGGAGAACCTTTACTTCAGAGTTTATAATGATTTTATCAGAAAGAAATCTGTTGAAACAGAAATAGCACAGAGACTATCATTTATGATAATTAATAAAATTTGAAAAATTTTAGCATTTTGAATCTACAGGTGGTTTCAAATCATTGAAAATAGCCTTTAATTTATTTATAAACATTTAAAAAAAACTACATTTCACACATTTCTCCCCTTTTTTCTCAAGAAAGTATTTAATCATTCATGACAACATAATCATTTCAAAAAAAATTGAAAAAACAAAACAACTTGATCTCCTTTAAATTTAAATATAAGAGTTAAAACTTACTTGAGGCAAACTGTTTATATTGCCATGAGTTTAAAACCTCTTCTAAAAAAATAGATACATGTAGGTACATGTAATTGTAAATTATAAAAATTTAAAAATTTTTTAAATAAAATATTTTTTAATTGAAAAAATTCTATATTGTAGATATCCATTTTTTAAAACAAAGTTTTTAAAAAAATAACAATTTGCTTTGCAATAATAGGAAGATCTTAGCATATTACATGTATAAGGAATTATTCATGCTTGAAATTTTGGTGGTATTGTTAATGCTACTATATTTATGTACTTTTTATAATTTCATTGGCTGTTTATAACAGATGAAGAAAAAAGGGTTTTTTTTATCCTGGTTTTAACTTGACCCAATAAACCCCCAGGGGTTTCTGGGGCATCCTCTCTTCTACAATAATATTAAATTGTGTAAAATTGCATAATTATTCTTCATAGGCATGCACCATGGACATTTTTTTCTGGTATAACTATACATGAATAAATATTAAAATCCTTTTGGTTTCCTTTTCTTTCTTTTTTTTTCTTTATTTATTTTATTTCTCCTTGTTTATAATTGACTAAACATGAATTTGAGGATATATACCCTTTTTTTATGCATGTAAAATATTTGCTATATTTATGTACAGTGTATTTTAAAAAATATGTAAAATTTATTTAATTTCAAAGTTTTGTGAAATAACTAGCAATATTCTTAATCATAAAAAATTAAAATTGCAGTGATGAAAAAAATATTTTCATGAGGAAAAAAAATTTTTTCAAAGGGGTCTTTATATTTTTAAATTTCTGGCCCCCTTGTACATCTATTCTTGCAAAAGTTTTTATAAACAATGTAAAACTGAACTGTGAATGACTAGTGACTAGGAAATAATAAAGGTGTAATGAATTAATGAAAAATTTTATATATATAATATACAAAATATAGTTTATTTATATTAAATTAATTATATTAATTAAAAATAATTTTCCACCTTGAAATTATGATTAAAACTCATCTTTTACCGATGTATTCATTTTTTTTTATTCACCCCCTTTTGGGGATTTCAAAGCTCTATAAAAAATTTAAATTTTTCTAGGCCTTTAAAAAATTTCCAGCATCCAAATCATCCCACCTAAACCACAAAAAATTTCAGACAAAAAGCCGCATATAGCCAGGGCAATGCAAAAAATGACCACCTCCAAAGTACAGGAAGCGTTTCCTTGGCCACGTGGTTCTACAACCTTGGTAAATTTGCAATTACGTCATTAAAGTGTAAATAAAAATAAAAAACTTGTTTATGGTAAAAAAATATTACCTTGGGGTCTTTGCACACCTGGTCCTTTTAACCATAAATTATACGCGGCGAATATATTCGCTGCATCGTCAGCTGCAGCCATTTGGCCATTGTTATTAACGTCAGCCCCCAATGTTTGCCCCCCGTCCAAGATGGCGGCCAAAACCTTGATAGGGTCAAATTTTACAGTATTTTATGTGTCCTTGAATGAAAAGGCCCGCACGATTAATCCGGGATCAGACATAAAATGTGAAAACGTTAGGACAAGCACTATTTCTGTAGTAAATATTTAACAAATTAAATATATAATTAAAATCGTGGATTTTAACCCCCAAATTTTCCCTTTTTTGGAATCGAACTGATGTAAAGAATTTTACCTGTTTCTTCCTTTGTTCAAGATTACGTTTCAGAGTATGATGTACATGTAATTAATTTATATAATATTGTGTAATGCAAGTTCATTACCATTTTCAGCTCTTATCTTGCATGTTTTTATTGTTTTAATAGTTGCTGCATAAGACATTACCTGAGATGATTTTCACAGCCCTGGCGTTTGATAAATGTATAGATGCTTAGCCAATCAGTCACTAGGCCCTAGGCTTGTGAATATGGTGAGAACCAGCTAAAATTATCATTCAAAACAAATGTAACAGGAAAGGAAAAAATGCATGGCTGGACCGGGAATCGAACCCGGGACCCCTGTATCTCTAGTCAGGTGCTCTACCTACTGAGCTATCCAGGCCGATATCCACGGCCTTAGCCATTACATTCCTCCCTTCTAAAATGGTCTTCGCCCTCGAAGACACAACCCAAGTTCTTATTGCCCCTGGCAGGACTTTCACCTCCAGGGGTGGTCAACTGCACCAAATCTGTAACAGGAAGGAGAATGCATGGCTGGACCGGGAATCAAACCCGGACCCTGTATCTCTAGTCAGGTGCTCTACCTACTGAGCTATCCAGGCCGATATCCACGGCCCTAGCCATTACACAAATAACTTTTCACATTTTTAAATTTATCAGAATTAATCCAAATTTGAAAAAAAATTGCAAGATAGTGAATTCATAATATACAGTAAACTGATCTGCCGGGTTTAGAAAGAACCAATTGTTTTGTAGATCTTTAGTTTATTATTTGTCATATATTTATATGGATATCAATAATGATACATCTTAATGGTCATCTCCTCTTTCAGCAGTTGTGCAAGGAAAGTTTGAAGAGTCTGTTGGAATGATCAACATGGAACTTGCTGAGCCTTTGTACTAAAAGTGAATCCTTCGTGACGCCAATTATCTGCCAACCCTCTATTACAAATTTCATGGGATATCTGTGAGGAAGTGATTCTAGCAACATTTCAGAAGATTTGGATCTTCCACAATTGGGATCTTTGGCACGTACATTGGGGAAAAATAGCAACTGTTGATTTTATGGGATCTTTGTATCAATGTAGTTATGTGGTACATATATTTTTGCATTTACTACTTGTGTTTGTCACTCTAGTCACTAACTTTGTACAGTAAATTTACATGGGCCACTGGCAGTTTGTTGTAAATGTGTATCCTGTTGAGGTTTCAATGTAAGACCTCTCCCAATCTTTGGCCAATGTCATTTAATGAATCTTACCTCTTATGTGAAAAAAAATGCAGACTTTACTTTACTACATATATGTACCGGTATATCATAACTTGATTATCATTAATTTAACCAAGGGACCCTCCAGTAATCATATTTTTCTTGGATATTTTTGTTGATAACCTTTGATGTAAAATACTTTGAAGTGTCAGTGAGAATACATGCATTTAAAAAGTGTGCTTAAATTGTACGTCTGAGAGGTATATGCTATTATATTTGTCTCAAAAAACATTGTAAAAGAAACAGTGATTTTTTTATTTTGCAAATATAGATTTGATCTATGAAAAATTGTGATGTTATCAAGTTTTTTTTTGTAATATTTGATACTAATACAGTTTCTATTGTATTTTCCTTGAATTCCACGGATTTCCATGGAATTCCTTAAATTTACAAATAATCTAGAATTTCACGGATTTCCTCCGCAAATTTCTCTTCTGGCATTGTTCCGCTCTTTTTCCAGGCTAGACTAAAATTCCATACCATTCCGGAAAAAGTTCCGTCCCAATACTTAAGAATTCCATGTAATTTGGAACAATATATACGTGGAATTCCATGGAATTTGATATGGAATTCCACGGATGTTGCGGAAAATCTACGTTAGGGTTGTTTTGTGGACTTTTGAGCTTGAATACTGTTGTTATCCCCATATATTTTATGTGTTCAGCATTACAAGCATTAAATAAAACCTACATAAGGTTAAGAAGTTTTTTGACGAGGAGAAAGTCCAGAGTTGTCATTTGACAGCTGACTTTTATTTTTAACATATTTTTAAGCACCTACGTAGGTAACGTAAAACCTTGTTATCCCGAACAAGACGGGACGAGGAACGACTGTTTGAATGATCTCCGATGACTGAAATATAAAGGGTAAAATACTAAAGGGAAAATGTGTTTAGGACTTTCAAATTCTTCGGTATATCCAGGGGATTGGATCCATGTTCAGCTTTATAAATTTTACGTACAACATAACTTTACAGCCTCATAAGATTTACATACGAGAGGAACTGTTGAAACACGTTGATCCATTAGCTAGTCTGCTATAAATTTCTGCGACACCTTGTATGGATTCTCTAAAATAGAAGACGTTTGGAGCTATTGTAAAAATAAAATTTTGGACATGTTACATGTAACCTCTTACAAAATGTTAACAGAAATGGTATAAAAGTATGAAAAATGGCGAATTCTTCTACACTTCCTCTCAAAATTTTCAGTTGCTTAAATGTTTGAGATTAACTTCCCCCTAACTACAACAGACAAAACCTACATTCATAATGATTCAAGTGATACTTGACTATCATTTGTTTTTGTTTCATAATTGTGAAGTGTGCTACATGTATATTGGGTGCAGGAGTAAGTGATTGAAATATGTATTGATGATTCTGACACTTTCTGGCACGTTAAATTATTTCATATATGAAATAATATTTCTTTTTCAATGAACCATCTGATGCCATGTAAATCAGTTAAAACTTTTTGTATGTCGATGGGAAAGTAAAATTTATATGAATCATCTTATCAAGTTTGTAGTATATATGACTAACTCGTTCATAATACATTAATTTACTTTTTGTGTACTCACATTTCTTCCCCGTAGACATAAGTGTAAAGGATCGGCCACACGATGGTGAAGAATATCAAGAACACTATTAAGAAATCTCATTAAATGACATAAAGAATACTCAGATACAGGAAAAACCCATCAAGCAATGCATTTCAGTGTTATATTTCAATGATTAAGAAACAAAGAAGAAATACACTCGTATAAACCATTCAACTTTTAAAAATTGATTATCGTCATCTATGATGTGATAAACTATACTTAATAGAAATAAAATGTAACAATAAATAAAAGAAGGAAACTTACTGCAAGTCATTGTTAAGTTTAAAGCTTCCGGGCACTGAAACGCCTAATGTTCATCGCTGCAATGAACGGATGTGACGTCACTTTTCTTCCTTGCATCGTGTATTCATTTTTACAAGATCATTAAACATGAACTTTTTCACTGAATCATGATACCAATTGCGCCCGGTTATTAAGAGACCTATTTTTGTATTCATATGAATCAGAATTTGTTTAATATATAATATGTGTAAAAAAAAAAACGTGCTGTGGCCTTCAACTCAACATTTGAATATACATGTATCCACGACTACTTAACAATGGTTCTTTCCATTCTTATATCGATACGATATATCTCAGTGAGCTTGAGATAAAAGATACCGCATTATCTGACGAATTTATTTCAAAGTTGGAAATTTTACTTGAAAAAGATTTTAATGGTTATCTATCAACTTCATTCTTTGATAAACTTGATGAATTTAACTGTTCAATCTTCAACTGCCCTTTCTTATGCGGATGGGCAATATACCCTCATCGCCTGCAGAATTTATATCTTTCAGTTGATTCGATACGCAAGAGCATGCTCTATGTATGAACAATTTCTAAAAAGAAGCAAATTATTGACAAACAACTTACAAGTTGATGAAGCAAGAAGATCAGCAGTCTCGTTTAAAATCGTCATATTGTAAGTTCTATGGTTGATACAATGACCTTGTCAGCAAATAAAATTCGTCATTTAACGAGGTCCGATCTACTTGATCTGCGCATAAGTTTTCACGCAACGTCATTTCAAACACGTCACAATACCCAGACTGCCGTCACAATTGAATAGAATGGTGTCACAATGAAAATGACGTCACATTACGCTAAAATGTTTCACAGATCTAAGATTACAGAAATCATAGCATGCTCGAAAATATCTTGTCACAAGTAATGGACATGTCAAATATGAAAGCCGTATCTCTTCTCAATATAAGGAACAAGGTGTGTTTGTGAAACAATAATGACCCCGTATGACAACATAACGAAGATTTTTAAAATGCATATGAAATATATTTAATATCACCCAAAGTAGAGTTCTCAGACAAGATAATACGATTGTGAAATACAAAACCCCTAGCACCACCTTTTCAAAAGTTATGACCAAGGATAAATTTTTGAAAGGTAGGTCAAACTCCAAGGTGAAAGGATCTAATTGTTGATTCTTAAGAAAGGTCACAGGTAATGCATATGTGAAGGTTGAAATCCCTAATCGTTACCGCTTAATGCTATGGCCAAGGTTAAAATTCTTGAAATGTAGGTCAATCTCCAAGGTAAAAGGGTAAAAGTTCTTGGTATCCAATTAAAGATCTTCTTACAAGGATTATATATGTGAAGTATAAAAGTCCAAAACCTTACCATTTAAAAGTTATGGTTCAGGGTTGTAAACATTTGAAAATTTTACCATGGAGGAAGCTGCGCGAAGGCGAAATGTGGCCAAAAACACTAATGCATCTTAGAATTCCTAATATTCATTGATCAATGATTGATTTTACAATTTTTATACTTGCCCACTGCAACACAAAACAATGAAATAACTAACACTTTTAAAGTTAAATAAAAATAATAGCTAAAGTGAAAAGGATTTATCCTATATCTAACTTCACAAATGTACCAAAATTTCCCCCAAACTGTAGTAACCTTTTGAAGGAATTTAAAGAAAAAAAGTCGATACAGGTAGCCAGATACCATGGTATTAGATTAACTAGGGCTAATTGTAACGGGGACCGTTAAGATGTTCCCCAAAGCTCCCCAACTCCCTTTTGGTGCCATATTCGCTGCAAGCGCTATTAAATAAGGCACACTTTATGCAATAAATTTTAGCATTGCACGCGTGCTCATCTGAATGCATGTGCGTAATGACCATATCGTTTTGTCTACACTATTTATATATTTTAATATACTTAATATCAAATCAATTAATCCAGAAGTATTAAGAAATACACTCATTTAAGCGTATTTTTAATTTTATTATTTCACGTGCACGCACGTGCATGAGGACTATACATTCCTGTAGGAGTCTATTATGTCTGTCTATGTTCTAAATCCCATCCTGTTTGGTTGAAAAACAAGGGAGTTATAGCCATTTAAAGTTTTAGCCAATCAGATTGCAGCGCACGTGCATGCGCGTGTTTTCATGACAATTGTTATATATAATATTGTAGTACATCCTAAAGTATATATATATATTAGATTTCATAGCATTTCGTCAAAAAACAGAAAAAATATTGAGATTTTTGTTTCAGCTAATCCGAACGAAGCGCACGTGCACGCACGTGCCTGTATGTGCATGATGACCATACCTTCTTGTAGGAGTCCATTATATGTGTTTATGTTCTAAATCCCATCCTCTTTGGTTGAAAACCAAGGGAGTTACAGCCATTTAAAGTTTAAGCCAATCAGATTGCAGCGCACGTGCATGCGCGTGTTTTCAAGACAATTGTTTTATATCACATTGTAGAACATCCTAAAGTATGCCTATATTTTAAATTTCATATCATTTCGTCAAAAAACAGAAAAGATATTGAGATTTTTGTTTCAGCCAATCAGAGCGAAGCTCACGTGCATGCGCGTGAGTTCGTGCTAATTTGACAGTGTCATATTATCTACACTATTAATATATCTTTATAGAATGAGTTTCAAATCATTTCATTAAAAAATGTAAAAGTTATAGCTATATTAAGTATTCGGTCATTTCACTCATATCACGCGCACGCACGTGCATGCGTATGCGCGCAAAATGACCTTCGTTGCACACCTACACTACACACCTATTAACCCTAAAAAGGTTTTAGCTTAGTTGGGGGAACAGTTTCTGAGAACACTCGCGGACAAAAAAGTACCGGAGAACAAAGAAGAAAAAAAAGAATAATAACTAGAGCAAAGCTCGTTGCAAAGCAACGAGTAGGTCTTCCGTCCTGTTTGACCGGAAGTGGCTTTCATTTTTAACAGAAATGTGAAATAACGTCCAAAAATGGCTTGATTCCACTAAATCCATGTTAATTATTGCAAAAATAAGCCATTTTCTGTTACTTCCGGTTTGACCGGAAGTGACGACGACTGACGGAAAATTAATTATAATGCTCCCAGAGACATATGTTACCAGAAAACTTGTCAAGAACGGCAAAAATACGCGTTTTCGACTACTTCCGGTTTGACCGGAAGTGATGACGCCGGACGTATTTTGACGACTTCAATAGATTAAGCTTGAGATTTTAAACAATTTTGTTTCTTTGACGAATAACAAATTCTCAATACTTTTTGAGATATAAAGGAAAAACTTTCGGCCCCTCAGGCCCCTGATTTAAGGGGCCAGCCCTTTTCGAGATGTCATTTAAAAAGATCTTAAAATTCTACACTTTTTTTGTTCTACATGCTTTAACAAAATATTTCTAGGTAAAAAGTTATTGTTGAAAAAGTGCTTAAAATTTTGAAATTCTTGATAGGACTATTCTCGGGCCAAAGCGAGCGTCGGCGCTTCGTACTTCCGGTAGTTGTCATATACTTAGTGCACTTCTCCAAAGGTTGTTTTAGCATCACTGAAAATTTCAAGCTTCTGTGTAAAGTGCTTTTTGAGAAAACTGCCGGACAAAGTGACCCTCTAAAATTCACTAAATTGCAGGAAACTCGGGAAACCCGGGAAATGACGTCATCAAAATAAAAAAATATTATCTAGATTTTTTGATGTTCTATCAAACCTGAAAGTTTCATGAAAATCGATCAAGCCGTTTTCGAGAAATCGCGCGTACAAAATCGGTAAGAAAAAAAAACAATAATAATAAAAATAGTGGAAAAGAAACCTATGAAAAAAAATAAGGTCTTCCGCTGAAGACGGAAGACCTTAATAATAAGAAACCGAATAAAAACAATATGTTCCCAAACTCGTTGGGGAACATAATAATTATAAAAATTTTAGCCTGTTGTATGAAATGTTTTGTTTCAGTATGACTAAAACTGATGAATGGGTAGTGTATTTTTATATTTAGTGTCCTTTTTTCTGAACGTTTTTTTTTTTTGCTAGATATTGCATTAATCACCCAGTTTTGTTTACTTCTCCACGTGGCCAGATCTACAAATAGCGCCAGGCAGCGTTTCATAACAACGGGAAGTAACTCTAAAACTAAGACGGCGATTGAGACGCAGGCCCTCTTTGCAGATAATTAAGTTAAAGCTAAAAAACAGAGCATGGAAACTGATTAAATACAGAGGAATATGAAATTTTTACAGAGTACTTTTTCTGGCATAGAAACTTGAATCACAAGCATGACGATTATTTCGTTATATCTAATCATGTCGTGAACATGTTGAACCAAGATAGCATGACTATGTTGGGCCAACATTTGTTAAAGGTTGTATGGTTGGCGTTGGGGGAACAACGTTGGGCCAACGTTGGACCAATGTAACCAAGCCAACCGTCTCGACCATGACGGAATTCCTATGTTGGCCCAGCGTTGGTCCAACTAAGCAACTTCCATTCACTTTATTTTCCCAAAGGGAAAGGGAAAGGTATGGTGTGGCCAACATTGGACCAATGTTTATAATACACCCTTAAAGAAAGTGTATTTACAAGTTGGTAGTAGTATGTTGGCCCAACGTTGGCACAATGTTTGTAATAATCCTTAAAAAAAATGCCTTATCAAGTTGGAAGTAAATGTTTCCCCAACGTTGGCCCAATGTTTCTAATTCACCCTTAAAGAATGTGTCTTATTAAGTTGGTATTTATTATTGGCCAACGTTGGCCCATTGTTTGTAATACACCTAAACCCCCCCTATCAAGTTGGTAGTAGTATTTTGGCCCAACGTTGGCACAATATTTGTAATCACACACAAGTGTTATTTTGTTTAGGCGTTTCAAAGATGGGATATTTGTATTGGGCCAACGTTGGCCCAATTATTATACTGCCAACTAATTGATGGTGTCATTAACTTTGCACTTAAGTGATCACAGCACCAAAGAGTGCTTTATTCTATTTTTTGAATTGTGTTTATACTTGTTTATTTGTAATAACCCAGATAGCAGAACACCGTTGACCCAATCTTACATTATGGTTCTATTATCTATGTGGG